TTTTTTCCTTCATGCTTATTATGAAAATTGGATTTCAAGTGCTCTTTCTGTGTGTGCGCTCCGTGTGGGTGAGCTTCGACCTTCCTCTTTACGTAATTGGATTTTGTGTGAGATTTGGCCAGAAAAAAAGCTGAGGCGAAGGAACGGAAAAGGCCAAATGTTATTAGCTGGGGGTCCTGGAATCAGTTTCCCAAAATCCTTGCCCCGACCAGGAAGGAGTTCCATTAGGACATAGCCTGCAAACCCATTGCAATCCTATTTTGTGACTCAAGTTCCGCAAAAACCATAGAATAACTCAGCTTGAAAGTTGCCGGGCATTTCTCGGCCTCATTTATAAATTTCGCACGCTCAGCGAATCGCGGATTTAAGGCTAAACTGGGCGTGGCACTTTCGGGAGAACAACAACAATGCCCTGTTATTCTGTAAAGTTTCGGGGCGGGGCTTTTAATTAATTCGCGGCATCAAAAGTGGAAACAGAAGCAGACGCAGCGCAAAGATTCAAAGTCAAGTTGCCAGCGAAATCAGCTGAAAAAAAAAAAAACAGAATATACACCACGAGAAAGAAGCCAACAGAAAAACAAAATAAATGCGTATGAATTCACAAAATATGATTATGAATAAGGGCCATTCATGCAAAAGACTCAGCTGCCGCGGAGGGAACCGCAAATGTGGGAAAGTTGCCACATGAAAAGGGTTCAATGATGGCCCGGGGACTGGGGGCTGCCGGCGGGGCTTAACCACATGCCGATCATGGGGCGTGCAAAATCAATTTTAAAGCGTATTTAATAAAAGCGCATTTATGCGCATTCTGCGGCAATTAAGTGCAGCAAACTGCAGGCATCGCGTTGATGTTGCAGCAGAAAATGTTGATGCTGGAGCTCTGATTAACCCTTAAACAAAGTGAATCTTAGAATTTAAAAACAAACTCACTTTAAGATATATCTAAAATACAATTTAAATTCTTCTACTTGGATTGATTTAATTCTACTTATTTTGTTTACTATATTATTCCTTATACCTTTCCAAAAAACTCAGTTAACCTTTAGTACTTGTCCCCACTTTATTACCAATGGTTGCCAACGGGTTAAGGGCACGTGCTTGTCCCAGTAATTAAGCTGATGTGAAAATCTTTGACTTGGTGCGAACACAGCGAGCAGGCAATTAAATTGTCCAGAGGACAGAGCCTACCGGCTTAATGCTGCACCACCCGTTGTTGGTGGTGGTGACATCACCGGAGCACCCCCCTCTCTATCCGGATCAATGTCATCGACTGCAGCGACAGATTTATGACAATCCGAGGGACTCGGCCACGTCCGACTCTCATGCTCACCTGACAGCTGCCTGATGATGGCCTGCCCCCTTGGAGGACCGAAACTTTGAAATCAACATTTCAATTTGTTGGCGGCTGCCGCTGCCGGCAATTTGGTGTGAAAAACTTGTAGCTATTTTTAAGTCATCAGCGGGAACAGAGGCAGCATCTGCAGCAGCAGCGGCTGGAGTTGCCGGGCAACTTTTATTGCCCATGTGCGGGGCATGTCTTCGTGCCAATTGCGTCATGCCAGGCGAAATGTGTCAAGTGAGCGGTGACTGATGTGGCGAGTAACAAGGAGTCGTTACACACTGAGCCAAAATAGGGGGGGTGAAATTAAATAAGAAAGAAAAGCGATAAGGGAGACCCTTAGAACTATTATTGAATCACAGGAAAGGTAGCTTAAATAAAGATTATTATATCAAAGGTAAGGCAGGGGTCTCTTTCCCCCTCTAAATCCACTCCAGTAGAAGTAGTAGTACTAAAAGATTCCTCTCAGTGCAAGGCTTCCCTCTGTACAACCCCCACATTTGTCTTAAGAAGTGTTGCATGCAAAAAGTATGCATAAAAATGTACCATTCAAGCGCTGGAATTAAAAGTAACGAGAGAAACGCTGCCGGCACAGGAGTTGCAAAGAAGGCAAAGAGTAGCCCAGGAGCTGGCACTTGATATGGCGTTGGCTTTATTCCGGCAATTGTCTGAGACAGTTAACCCCAAGGAGCACACGACTCGGGACTCGGGAGTCGGATACATAGCAGACAGTACAGTACAGTGTACATAGAAGGCAGCTCTCCTCTTGAGCCGCTGTCATTGTCAATGTCTCCAGACAAATGCGCCTGAAATGGCATAACAGGCGAATGAGTTTGAGTTTGCCAGTAGCCCAGCCCACTCGGAAAATGCGAGGGGTTTGGGAAATTTTCCAAGGCAAGTGGCTTGGCCCACGCAAATTCGGTGCACGCGCAATGCTAATCTTCTTTTAATTAAACGCAAGTCTAAGAGGCTTCTTCCCTTCAGTTAGCTAATTGTCTTTTGTCATTTGTCTTTTTGGCCAAAATATATGCCAGCGACAAGCGACAGTTACATATGTGGAAATTCACAATTGCCGAGCGAGGAATGTAAGAATGGAAACACAAATGTTTTCCTTTTTTTTTTTGGCCCTGACAGTGACTGCTTCGAGGTTAAACTCAATAATTGTATCAGAGCTAATTAAAATGAATAGAATTAAGTACGATGACAAAGGGAAGTGGGGAATAAGATGGAGAGATACTTTTGGCATTTGTTTTCCTTGTGGTAGGCATACATTCTATTTTTATATTTAATTATATTCACTTTAATAATACATAAATAATTGTGCTAGATATTTAAAGAGATTTAGCAGATAGTATAAGCTTGGACTTCAAATTGTTTTTCCCTTAAACAATGTAAAGTTTATCTTGGAATTGATTTCAATGAATATAAATATGTATAGCCCTCAACAAATATTAATTTATATATAATTACACCAGATAAGTTGTAATTGCTTCAGTTCAAAAGGTATAAATATGATGTACTAACATGATTTCCCCCCTTATAGAAGGGAAATTCTATTTTCCAATAATGATAAATGGCAAAAATATTAGGCAAAATCAATCAAAATATGAAAATATGAACAGCAGGCAAGGCTGGACAAAAAAAGAAAACACCAAGAGCAGGGCAGAGGCAGGGAAAGCATACAAAATATGTCAAACACAATTAATTATGAAATGCATAAAACAAAGCCACAGGCATAAAAACAACAATGGGAGGCCATAAAAGCGTCAGAGGATGGAAAAATGCATGAAAAATGCGACAGACAAAATTATCATTCATAATAATTTGTACAAACAAAACGGGGGGACAGGAACCGAGGGAGTGAAAATGTTTGCAACTGTAGCCTAGGTAAACAAAGGGAAACAGGGGGGGGGCAAGATGGGCGCAATAGAATGTTTCACGTCGAGCCAACAATTACAAAAATTGATGTTTTATTTAAAATACCAGACGGCAAGATGGGCTGGCGCAGTCGGGGAATAAAAATAACAACAGCAGTGATAATGTTGCTGGCAACACATGTTTACAACGGCAGCGAGAACAACCGCAGATACAACAGCAGCAGCAGCAGCAGCAGCAACGGCTGACAGCAGGCCCGAGAGGCCCGCCCCCTCTTCAGACAGAACGTCAGACGCCTGTGCACACATTTTAATCAATAAACAAACGTGAAAATATGACAAACAAATTAATAAAATGCAGCAAACGCCGGTCGAGACAGTGACAAAATATTATAAATGCATTCAAGGGCTCTTTGTGAGTGGTGCCAGGAGGGGGGTGCGGGGGCAAAAAGTGAAGTGGGAAAAATCAGGGAAAATTCAGGGGGATAAGGTCTATATATAGCGCCACAGCATCCATCCCTTTCCCGCTCAGCCGCCGACTAATTGTGACAATTCGGTCTCACACAAATGGCATAATAAATGTTGAGCCGAGGAAATGATGTGTGAAGTGCATGCCTTTGTATTCCCCCCCTTAACCCACCGATCTGCTTAACCCTCTGATTTCCCCCCTTTTTTTCGGGATACCAGACAACCGATGACCAAGCGGAAGTGATTTTTGGTTTCAGCGCACGATTTTCTGTCAGCTGGAAATGCATGGCACAATGCCGCGATGCTGATGCCGGGCCCAGCTATTAGCCAAACTTTGTCTACACTGAGAGAAAAGTGTTGTTGATTAATATGATAAACTAATTTTGATTTGTTTACTCTGCCAGAATACCTTAAAAAAATCAAGACTATGAACAAAGTCTTACACTTGATTAATTTAAATTGTACAAAACAAATATGCAGCTTGCGTTACATTTGATTTATTTTATGTCATTCTTATTTGGTTTTATTTATTATTTGTGATTTCTGTATAGTCAAAATAAATTTAAATCTCTTTCTTTTCTTCTTTTCTTATCAAAAATCAAGCTCAAAATCTTGTTTACAAGGTCAAACAATTTAAAATCAATTTATTATTTATGGCAGTGTTCCTGAAAATCTTGACTTCCTGATCGCGAAAACTCTTTACAAGTAACAAAGTATCTCCTAATATCTATCATCAAAAAATCACCTTTTATTCAACATTTTTCCCAGTGCATAATGGGAACAAATCGCCCTTCATTGTTTACGACACAATTGCTGAACAATGCCAAAAACAGGAAGCGCCGATATGCACAACCCTTTTTTTTTTTCTCTCCTGTCGGGGGGCAGATAGATAGATTGTTTGAAGGACTGGCGGCCAGTGTGCGGCTTCCTGCATTGAAGCGCATAATTGAGCAGCGGGGAAGGTCGTAAATAATGCAAAAGCCAATTGCTGGCGGCCAGCGAAATAAGCAAATCCAAATTGGATGCCTTCGAGTGGACGGGGACGGGCTGCTAATTAGTCCCCGGGTTGAATATTTGGGCGCTCCAAAGCGATTTGAGTAAGGTCAATGGGCATTGATATTTCCTATCTCGGTTTTGGGTCGCTATGGGTCCCTGTCCCTGTCCCTGGACGCATAAATCAATCCGGGCAACGGTCGCGGCACGTGACGATCGTTGGAATTTTTATTTGGAACTTTGTGCACTTTTACGAGGCGGCCATAAAACTAATATTTCAGCCTGTGTCAACAACTAATTGAAGTATTCTTCCTACTATATTGCAGGGCGTAGCATTTCTCTCGTGCAGCATATGAAGTAATTAGGGACTAGCACTAAAAACATCTATAAATGTCAAAAGACAAACAATTTCGCGGAAGAGCGACTGCCAGGCATTGCCATCGACACTTTTCAGGCAACATGTTGCTGGGAGTCATAGACAGCAGCAGTAGCGGCAGCAGCAACCCCAACTGATAGCAGCAACATCAACTGACGGCAGCAACATTTGTGCGTTCAGTCGCAATTCTGACGGTTGCGTGACGCGTTCGCCGGGCGGGCAATGAAGCAGACTCTTCTTTATTTTCAACACAGTAAGAGCGACGTCAAAAAAACAATATAAACAAAGTGCAAACAATTACATAAATACAAACAAACCCAATAAAAATACGTAACAAAGTGTGTGCCATATAAATAAGAATAATAAAGCAAGAAATGCCGGAGAGCAAGCAAATAAATTAGCATAATTTAGCAAAGATTTGCCGAGACAAGCCGACATTCATTTCGCACTTAATTAGTGTCCGACAGCGCTGACAATGTGGCAGACACTATCAACTTTAAGCACATCACTCAGAGGAGCAACAGTGGCAGCAATGCCGGCAACCTGCAACTGCAACAGCTCGGAAAACGCGGAAATGCACAGTCACAAAGTGGGCAACATGTTGCCATTAACAGACAATGCGACAGCGGCAATGCGTAGGTGTCGCTGTCGCACAAAAATCACCAGCAGCAGCAGCAGCAGCAGCAGCAACAGCAGCAACAACAGCAACAACAGCTGCAGCAACAATAGTAACAGCTACGGTAGCAACATCCTGCAGTGGCTACTCCTGCTATGCCTTTTCTGTGGTAAGTAGAAGCCGGCAAATGAGCCATGGTCGAGTGCAGTAAGTGACTTTTAACAAAACGCGCTTAAATGTCTCTGATTTAGTGTGCCACGCCCCCTTGGGCTAGAGCACATACACTAAAAAAAAGACACATACACTGGAAAAGTAATAAGCAAGAATCAGTTTTCATTGATTTATTAAAACAATTTTTAAGGTTTTTTGATTTTTTTCTTGGAAAATTTACTATCAACAATGTTAGCTTTAGAAAAATATGTAAAATACTGATGTAAGCCAAGAATTAGGCTTATTCTGCCTAGTTTCCCGCCAAATTACACTTCGCTTTCATATAAATACTTCTCTCAGTGTAGAAAAAAAAGCAGGGATAAAACAGAGAAGACAAACCGCCAAACCAAAGTGATATAGAGATGTGCCGGATGAAAAAACTGCTGCAGTTTTAGCCCTTGAATAAGATATACAGGGGGAGAGTCGGGCCAACAACTGAAAAAAAATAAATAAAAACGCTCAACACAAATCAAGATGAATTTCCGTGCATTTTTGTGCAGATTTTTGTACAGCTTTGGCCAACAAAAAAAATAAGAAAATAAAGCATGTACAGAGAGACAAACACACATGGCCAGCCAAAAACCTAAAAAAAACGAAGCACACACAACGCTGCGATTCGGGTTTTGGTCTTTTTGTGTCCTGTCTAAAGCGCTACAACTGCCACACCAGCAAAAAATGGCTAAACAGCAAAGAAAAACATTTGAAAATAGCGCCAAGAAATGGAAGAAGATTAAATGGCAGCCAAGGGTTGGTGGTGCTGGCGGTGGTGGTACGTCAGCGCAATATAAATTGACTCGTGTTTTTCATTTAAACGTTTCACCGCCCTCCGGCTTCAATCGTCTTTTTTTGGGAGGGGCTTTGGCTGCCTTCAATAATTCGACTGCACAGGAGTTGCAGCTGCAGTCGTCGCTGCCACTTAAACCTGAAATTAACTTTGGCCCACGGAAGTATGCAGCGAACATGGCAAATCGGGCAACGTGAGCCGGCCATACAAGCACATACCGCACTGTACGGTGGACGAGCACTTGTGGCTACCTTTTTTGTGGCCAGCTATTCTCTCCATCCCGTATTGCTTGATTATTTCGTTTGGAAATTGATGCTGCCATCAATTATAGGAAAGCACAGGGAAGAGCAAGACATCGGGTTGGGAGAAATGAAACCGGCACCAGCCACCAGAGACAGATAAAGACACAGAGAGCGAAAGTTGTAGCTGGAAGGATATTGCAAAAATGCTTAATTAAAATGTGCTTGCTGCCATAATGAAAGCCAAATATTCAATTTTAAAACTCGAATATCAGTTTTCCTACACAATCCAACAACGCAGTTTGTTTTTAAAGTCTTAAACATAATCCTTAAAGTTTATTATGAAGCCCTGAAGGCAACATTTGTAACTTAAATTGAGCATTTTGCAAAAACTCTAGATTTATTTAAAATAAAAAGCCAAACTAGTTTCCAGCTTAAGTTCCCGGAGGGAATTTATTCGTTTCAAGTTTCATTATTTAATGAATTTCCTTTGTTTGGCCTAGACTTTTATCTCATGCATTTTAATATTCGGTTTATCTAGTTATACCTGGAAACTCCAGACTTTTTTTGGTTTCATGTTTCACCAGCAAATCGAATTTTTGAGTGTAGAACGGCAGGCGTGTGCAGTTGCCGCCGGCTGATTGGTTACTCGGATGGCTTTAAAGCCAACGCTTTGTAATCGATGGCCCCCGCAAAAGCGCTGTGCAGTGCTAAAATAAACCGAAATCAATTTGGTTAAGCCCAGGGACGAGGCAACGGAGATGGAGTGCCGACCACCACCCACTTAGCTAATCAGGATAAATAAATATTTATAATTAATTTAAAATATAAACAGCAGAGCAGAGCGTCCGGGCGGCGCAATTAATTTTGGCTAGTTCGGGGAAGAACCGAAACTGAAAACGGAAGAAGGGAAAACGGGAAAACGGGAAAACGGGAAAACTTTCATTTTGATAACAAGGCAAACAAGCAAAGTGCTCATCGCACAAGATTCGCAGGCATATGAATAAATGACTGAATGCATGAATAAGCAATCAACAATAATGGCCCGGGGATACAGAAAAAGCGGGATTGAAAGAGGAGGATACACCGAAAGGATTCTTGGATCTTGGATAAAAAATGTATTAATAAATTCCCAAAAAATTACATAAATGTAATCTAAGATCAGTATCAGTGAAGATCAGTTGGGCTGAAACTTGAAGAAGAATTATAATTTATAGGTAATCAATTCATTTTTGTTATATTTTGTTCTGTGTAGTAAAGGTGCTTGTGTGGAGATGGAAGATGGGTATATTATGAAAATATATGCACAGCGAAGAGGTGAGGGTTAAAGGCAACCCATGCCTTGGTCAAGTGCCTGGAGGTGTGAACGAGATGCCCAGCTAATGAGCCAAGTCATCAGGTGTTGGCCAAATGGGGTTGGCCACTGTAGGTGGGCAATGGGCGGTAATGGGCGGCGCTTCAATGTGGCTGAAGGTGGTCCACGGTGGGTGGTGGTGGTCAGTGGTTAAGTGCGTGAGCCCGTGCGTGCTTAATGAACTGCAATCAATGGCCCCAGTGTCAGTCGATAAGAAACTCAAGAGGCGTCTCAAAGTGCGTGCAACATTGTGATGCATGCACTGGGAGAAATAGTAAACATATAGCTACAAATATTTCAAAGATAAATTTAATAAGCCAGAGTCATGAGACAAAAAGATAAATATATTTAAAAAATATAAATAATAATTAAAGCAAAAATGTAAATTACTAATAAGAGATCTATAAATTTCTATAGATTTTATTTTATTTTCTTTCTGGTCATGTGTTGGTCAGCCAAATTAATAGCTGGCGATTTACACAGCCCACTGACTAGATTGGCGCATTAATTAAGCTTCATTTTGTTGAAATTTATTTAAACACAACGCCGACACAACGAGACACTGAGAGAGGGGGGAGACCCACACCTCTTGCCTCGCGTGAATTGGTTTTTGGGCGTGAAATTGCTTTCAACGTTTAATTAGAAAAGGTTCGTGCGGTGGTTTATTTTTGGCCATCAACCGCATTTTGTGCCTGAAAGCAACCCATTCGAATTTCCACCACCACCACCACCACCAGGATTCGCTGCAATTTGTTATCAGAAGCAAAACACGCACCTCACCTTTCGAAGAGCCGTCTTTGTTTACCTGGTTTTTGGGATAAATTAAAGGGATTAGACCGAAAGGAAGCTGTGTGTGTGTGCGTGTGTGTGCCGCACAATTAGCCACAAAATCAATTTTACACACCAAAAGACTCGAAGAGAATAATCAACGCCTCGGGCTGGCAACAAAGCGAATCATTCCGATCGGTTACAGCCATTATCGATTGAAGCCTCCTCCCAAGGTGACGGCATTAAATTAAATTAAACTACACATGTGTGAACGAAATAATAAACTAGTGAGCATCGGGGGAGCTGGGGAAGGGAACAATGGTACTAGTATATTGTCAGCAATATTGGTAACAGCATGCAGCCTGGCCTGCCCGCCTTTTTCCATCTCGAGCTTTGTGCGCCAACTGTGTGATATAAAATATAATTGAATTGATATGATATGAGGCATTCGGAGAGTGGCATACAGCAGGCCAAAACAACAATGGCCACCCACATGGCAGACATTCATTTTTATCTTTATTGGGCTCATGCAAATGCCAAGCTCGAGACTCGAAGACGAGAGTCCTGGAAAATACAGTTGTGGCTAAAATAATAAACACCATTTAAATATAGTAGTACTATTAAGCGAGTCAAGAAGTTAAATTTAATATTGCTGGTAAAAGATAATTAATAAATATTGATTAAGAAAGCTAGTAAGAGTTAGAAGAGAAACATAACATACTAAACTATTACCCTAAACACAGCTGTAAGTATAGTAAACAAACAGGAGATGAGATGTAAAGTCGAGGTTGATGGCTGTTGTGTCCATGTCCTTGGACAAGCTTATTGATGAAGCCTAGGCGAATGCAGAATTTTGTATAAAAGAATACAGCATTCCGAAAATAAATAAGATGGAAAGCCTTGAGAAAAATGTGACCCAGGTTAAAGATAAATTTAGCCAGCAAATAAAAGATCATTCTCGACCTCACCAAGCAAGTATATAAATGAAATTATATAAAAATATAAAATAAAATTAAATTTAATGCAATTAATATGAATAGCTTAAGCTTAAGCCCGAAAATATTAAAATCCAAAATTAAATTTAAATTCCTGCAAGGCCAAGATAAATGAACTCCTTTCATGTCTAGTTAATTAAACTAACATCCTTGACATTCCAACATTCCCCTTGATGGAAGACTCTCTTAAAACCATTTAATATAATTTGTCACAACGAGTTTGAGTGCATTAAAGTCAGCTAAAAAACATTTCAGACTCACTGCCAGTTGGAATTAGCAATAAATGTTGACCGAAAAATGTTAGTCGAATGGCAAGTTTTCACAGAGCAGAGAAAACTATAAAAACTTTTCAACATTTCAATTCATAATTCAACACATAATTATATAATGCCGGCTTTGTCTATCTCCGCTCGCAGGCTGCCCTTGCCAGCTGTCTCTTCCTCCTCGTCCTTCGGAACTCGGTCTATCTCACTCCTGGCCGGACTGTGGCCAGCCGAAATATGTCAGAAAGTTTTCAAAACTGTAACAGCGCCAATTTGTCTACAAAAACGTTGACCGTACAGCACTCAGTGTGTGTCCCTACTCCCCAGCCGCCCTTTGAAATCCAGTAAAACATTTTACCACCCACTTCAAATGTAATTTCAACTCAAATTCTGCTGTATAATATTTATGCAAATATTTCCACGCTCCCTCCGGTCTGTCTAATATATACTGTTGTATGTAGTTGCTTATGCATTATGGTAAATAATTGCTGGTATTTTTTCCGGGCTGCATCCTTTTTTCCTTTTCAGTATTTGTGTAGCTAAAATATTGCGTTAATTATCACGAAATGCCACAGAATATAATTTACATACACTGGAAAATAATATCAAATGCAGATTTAACAAGTTTATTAATGGAATTTGTATTTATGATGTCTTTCTTTCGGTTTAATTTGATTCTAATTGAAGCGAGAATAATTTCACTATAAAAACAATTATTTATATGACTTATTTGTAGTATGGTTTCAATTATTTCCCTCTGTGCATACATATATATAGCTCCAAGGCGGCTGTATCTGTTTGATCCTGTCGCTCTCCGTGTGTGTGTGTGTGTGTGTGCAACCGCGCAATTTATATTTTTGTTAATTTTGTTCATTTTTGGCCACGCGTAATTACATGAAGTATTCATGTGTAAAATTTTGTTATTGTGTTTGGCCTCGTAAATTGTTTAACTTTTAAACATTTATTGGATGTTGGCCGTATCAGCCGGAAAACCAATTTTCACTGGCCAGAAAAAAAGGGAGAGGAGAAAAGAGGATGAAAAGTTTTCTTTTGTTTTTTTGTTTTTGTGGAGGATGCGAAGCAATTGACAGCGCAGCGAAGAAAACAAGACTTGAAAACTAGCATCAAATATTTAAGAGGCGAAACTGGAGTCTGGCAAGGCAAATTATTGCACATCCATGCTCCAAAAGTCGCCTTTTTCACTCCTCGCAAAGGCGGGTGGAAAATCGGTCTGAGCTCCAGGCAATAAGTTAAATTAGTTTCGCCAGTGTCGTGGCGTCTTTGCCTCTTTGTTCTTCGTCCTTGCCACTGCCGCCACTCCTTATGACAATAAAAATATTACCCATAAATTATCACAAGTGAGTTCATCACATGGCTTGCACTTTCAAACCCTCCCTCGCCTCCCTCGATTTTCATTCACAATTCGCCTGTCTGTAAAAAGTTCGTCTGGCTTTAGTTTAGTGGAAGCATCTGCTCGAAAGGATGTGGTGGGGCCAGGAGCAGAGGATACCCCTCGGAAAACCCCTCAGCATTTACCGCGCTCATTTGTAACTAAATCTGGGCTAGCTCAGAGCTCGGTTGCGTGGCGGAAAGTTTATGAGTGTGCGGGTGGACTCACAACCAAACATTTCCACATCCTCGGAAGTCAGAGGCGTGCTCAAGGGAAGTGTCAGGGGTGCTAAAACCGCTAAAAACCTTAAATATTTTCATGAATATTATAAGAACCATATAAGTTTTTCGAAAACACAATGATGGATTTCACAAGAAGGGGGCATATCCTTGTTGGACGACACCCCTGGAACGCATGCTGGCGCAAACATATGTATGTGAGTGTTTGCGCAACTGCACATTGTCATAATGGTGAATGCATGATATATTGAATTTTGCAGTCAATAAACGTTTTATGATCACAGCTGCACATATTTCACAATTTTCCTCTCGTTTTTCCACTCGGTTCTACTTTTTTTTTTCTGTCGTGGAAAAGTTGCATAAAAGTTGGGCGGAAAGTGCGACAACAAAGAATGACGATGGGCGGGGGCGGAAAGCCCGTTGAGGGCAATCGAAAAATTTAAGGTCATTATGGGGCGGCATGTATGTGTGTCACACACAGAGTTCTCTGTCATCAAATCCGGCTAAGCTGGTGCTTGGTGCCTGAAACAGTCCAAGTTGATACAGATCCCAGGCAATCCATCGAAGGACCATAAAGTTGTTCAAGCTGCCTGCCACACGAAATCACTGCTCACAGAAATTCATCATCGATGCTGCTACTGCTGCTCCTCCTGCTCTCTGTGCTCTGCTCCATTGGCATTTTTCCGGGGCCAATCTCTGCAGCAGGCACTTCGACTGCAGGGGCTGACGTTCAGCTAAGCTCGGCCTAATTTCCAAAGGCAAATGGCCGCAGGCTCAAGCGCCAGACTTGCCCGATGAGTGCGAAAAAAATAGTACACAGTAGACATAAAATGAAACGGAGGCAAGACAACAGAAAACACAACAGGAAGCTGTCCATGAAAATGAAGATGAACCAGCAGGAGCAGTACTAAAAGCAACAAGCAGCCGTTGAGCGGATATTGTGCCACTCCCAAAGGAGCTGAGGAAAGTGGGCGTAGGCATACACAGAGGGAAATTTGTCACTAAAATATAAAAGGGAAGACTTGATTTAATTTGTGGACAAGAAGTAAGAAGTCATGGTTTATTTAAAAACAATTTGATTCACTTGATTTGTTTTATAAATTTAAAAATTCAAATTAATTCCATAAAACCAAAGATGGTTTTAAGAAGATTTGACTTTAATTCTACATTCTTTATAGAGCTAACCTAAAGACATTATATAAAATTATATATAGTCTTAAGCCTATGATATTCATTTAATTAATTTGTTAATTCGAAATACTGACTAGTTATATATTTTTTTATTTTCCAAAAGAGGCTCTTCAAAATTTTCCTTTTACGAATCTTCTCTTTGAACTTATAGCCCTTCAAAAAGAGGTTTAATTCACATAAAATATTTCTCTTCTTCCCAAAAAAATAATAATATTCTCAGTGTAGCACACACACACATTGATTATGCTGCGTTGCTATCACGATTTCTATTTGAAACAAAGCACAGGCGCAAAAATAGCAAAACGGGAGGCAGCAGGCTAAAAAAAAATGGCAGCAAAGAGGTTTACAACTTCTCGTAAGGCGGCTTAAACGATTTGCGAGTTTATGGAAAGCCAAACACACTCTCAACGCAAACACACACGTCACACAGTCACGCAGATGATGCCTCCGTCTATCTGTCTGCCTGGTGTGTGTGTGTGTGGGATCGGGAGTGCGCCTGGGCCACGATAAGCGGCGGGGTCGGGCATATTGTAAAACAAATGGAAAATTGCTTTTTGATGTAGTCATCTTTGCCTTGCCTTGCCTCGGCACCATCATCATCGACAGCGATGACGACATGGGGAATGGGGATGTGGAAAATGACATTGGGAATGGTATTGGGATTGGGAAAATGGTTCTGAAGATCATTGGTGCCGATAGATCGAGAAGTATTTTCATATTTATTATATTTAAAGTTCTAAAAAAGGAATATCAAATAGATCAAGTACCTGAACAGTGCATCAACTTAATGTAGAATTAGAAACAAATACCATTACAAATTAGCTTCATTAACAAGTCCCAAAATGGCCCAAGTAAACACCCATTTGTATTTGCAATTCAAGCTTCTTTTATTGATTGATTTAATCTAAATGCGGCAACACTGATGATAAAGGCTGGAGTGGCAAGTTGAAAGGCTTTAAGCGCCCAGGAGTATGATGCATGTCATTTGCGCTCTGCTCTTGCAGTGGCTGCAATTCTTAATCCTGTGGGGCTTATGTGCGACAGCCAAGAAAAGGACCACGATGGCGGATGTGCTGATGATGAGGATGTGGCAGCCACTGCTGTCGCCAGATTCAATATTGTTTCACGCTCCTGGACGGGTATGCAAATCCTTGCCAGGCAGTGAGTGTGAGTCCCTGTTTGGGCTGTGAGCCCGATGAGCCCAGCGAACATCGAACGCTTTTAAAATAACAAAGGGAGCCGAGATAACTCCCCCACAAAATTGAGTCATGCAGAATGAAGTCCTTCGCTCGGCTCCTGCTAACTATACACTTCTAAAATAATAACTATTTTAGTAATAAAAAATCTATCTTGATTAATCTTGTATTTTCCAGAACCTCATTTTTTTTAATTTAAAAATCATTTAATACCAATAAGTATACTTAAACTGCCACCATTTTCTCACCGTGTACAGCTGAATCGAAGCCCTTATGACACCGCATCCATTTGAATAAGTCTCTGTTGTCCCCCCTTTCAGATTTTGGTGAGGCAGCACTGAGCAATGTCAATCTGCTGGTGGAACCCCCGGCAGTGCGAAGGGGTCAATCTGCGGCTCTGCGCTGCGACTACCAACTGGATGGAGCGCCCCTGTACTCCATCAAGTTCTACCGTGGCCAGATGGAGTTCTACCGCTACACGCCGGGCGAGTATCCCCACACCAAGGTCTTTCCGTATCCCGGCATTCGCGTGGACGTAAGTTGGATCCCCCGAGGGGTTTTTGTTCCCAAGTAATGGGTATTTTTGGCAGGAAAATGGCTCAAACGCCACCATGGTGCACATACGCAACGTGAGCTTCGGCCTGTCCGGACCATTTAGCTGCGAGGTGACGGCGGATGCACCGCTCTATTCCACGTCCACCGCCTACGCCCAGATGCAAGTCGTCGGTGAGTATGCTACAGCGTCCTGACAATGACAAACACAGTCTGTCTCATTAGTCCTGGCGCGAGCCCTGACAGGCCAGAGCCGGGAACAATGGCACGATAAGCGTACCTCCTTGCTCCATGCTTCAGTTTCAGCAATTAAAAGCCGAGCTAAATAAAGAGAAAACCAAGGGAAATTTAAGCTTTTAAATTAAGGCTTGATATCAATAGTAGTTTAAAATGAATAAGAAAATAAGGAAACCAAACTCCCTATTGATCTCTTAATGTAAATGCTTATTTAAACGTCCGTTTCTCCGAATTCATATTTTACATTGAAATATTATTTATATAAAAATATTCCCCATTTTTTCAGAATATCCTGAGAAGCGTCCTCAGCTTTTTACGGAGCATACGCGGTATGAGCCCGGCGATGTTCTACGGGCCAACTGCAGCACTCTGCCCTCCCGACCGCGAGCTGAACTACGATTCACCATTAACAATATTCCGGTAAGTTATCAATATTAATATTTGTTGAATTATTAAATCCTTTAAAATATAAAATTCTAAATTCTTTATAAAGATAAAACCAAGATCTTTACAATATTCAAAGGTTTATTAAAAGTTTTAATAATAATGAACCTTAAGGTGTATAAATTCTGTAAATTAAAATACAAAAAAATATAACCATGGACACGATCTGATCTCAAAGAAAATTTCCTGTGACCCCCAGGGTGAAATATTTTACAATCGACAATTAAGAAGTCTTACATCAAGCTCCGCGCATTGATTGTTAATTAATGCCCCAAGAAGTTTCTCGGGCCAAGTGCGTGGGGGATTTGCCTAATTAAACAGCTTTGACTTGCCTAACGGCATCGTAAATCCTTTATAATGGCAGCCACCACCATTGCTCTGGTTTTGGGAACATGTGTGGCTTTCGTTTAATCCAAGGCGACGTGCCTCACAAAATTTGTCCTTTATTTATGAATATGATGTAATTTAATCAGAGCCAAGCGGCTGAATTACAAGGCGGCTGCTCCTCATCTTACCTACTTAATTAAAAATCTCAAGCCAAAGGAACCCAGAACCAAGAAGCCGTCGGGGCGAAAAACCGCTTGTGGGCAAAATCGAGTCAATAAAGCAAAAAAGGGTTTTGCGCTTGGCTTCGGCCTCTGATTTGATTGTGAGATTTACCCTTTTTTGTCATTTATCATAACGATATGAGGGAGTGCGAGAGGGTACAGACACTGGCAAGACATATGTACATATATGGCACAGTGGAGGTAGAATAAATAGGACCCAAGATGCTCGGGAAGTAAAATAAATAGTACAACAAAAAATATTTATTTTAAAGATTTATAAAGGTACAATTACTTAATGTTGTAATCTAAAGTCTAGTTATAACATTTTATTTATGCAAAAATCAAATCATTTTAACCTCAACTGTATGTAAGCATATATTAACTTGCCACACGATATGAGGATGGAACCATCATTAGTCATTCGGGGGCGCTTCCATTTCTGCATCAATTCTGCGGGGCCGCTAATCAGTTGCATAAATCAACAGAGAAATGCTTCCGGCAATCGGTTTAAAGCAATGCCAGATCCCAATTCCTTGGCCTAACCCCGAAATCCTTTATTTCTTTTGGTTGCTCTTTTTTCTGTCATGGCCCCAATGTTATTAATCATAGCCGAGACATAAAATAAATTACGTTCAACTTGTGGCAAAAACGAAATTGCCGGACGGGCCAGTGGACAGCATGGACCACCGACAAAGGGACAGAGGACAAAGGACAACGGTTTTTAAATGAATTTACGAGATGAACAAATTTTCAGTTGACACGCCCGCGTGAACGAATTCAACTTTTCTACAATTTCGCAGAGTGTGCGGGCAACAAGAAGAAAACTTATTAAACGCTTCATAAATTTTTATATTATGTCTACCCACATCATCAGACATAACGTGTCCTCCTCTGTCCGTCTGCTTTGTTTTCTGTCGCTCCTTTTCTCTTTTTTTTTTTCTGGCCTCGTATGCCAGTGTGTGTCTTATCCTGTCGCTTTATATCTGCCGGCTGTAGTCTACTTTTTGGGGCATCGACACACACACACACACACAGGACTCACATGCAGGCCGTTTAACATTTTATCTAGACTCCTTCGCAGCCAACTAATGACAAAAGCCGAGACAAAAGTACGCCGCTGTGTTCGAGGATTGCAGAGCCGGGTCTTCCCCGGCTGTCACATAAAATTTTATGTTTACACAGGGAGAATAATATGGGTAACCATTCAAATTTCTTTCGAAACTCTTATTTATTGTTAAGTGTATTCTGTTGATTGCGTCTAGACGGTTGTCTTAGGTTTTGACTTAAAACGTATTAAAGAAATATATTTTTATTAGTTTTTTTGATTGGTAAGCCTTAGGATGTCTGTATTGATTTCCCCCCGTGTACTCTGTTTATGTTGCCAGAAAAAAAAACAAACAGGGGATAGCAAAAGTATAGCCTCCATTTCGGTGGCAATGGCCATGCAATTTAGTTTCATATGCCTGAGCATTAGATGCCTTTTTGATATTGAATTATGATCTGCACGCCGGAGCTGTTCACGCTCTTTAAATTAGATGGAAACCCGGGGATAATACTCTGTCACACAAAACAATGCCATAAATAATTCCGAGCTGAAAGCATTGACCCAGCACGTGTTGAGTTCAAGATTAAAGCTTCTCCCTAGCCACTGGTATATAGTACATATATCTGGTCCACATGTGTGTGACCCACTGCCAGTTAGAGGGGGCGAAAAACAGGAAAAAAAACTTTAACGACTCACATAATTTGTTAAAAAGTTTCTGTCATATTAATGGAAAAGTAGCTCAAAATGTGTTGGCCTCTCCCTGCTGCCTGCTCCCTACTCCCTTTTCTCTGTTTTATTTTTTTGTATTCCCCCTGATGATGATTCAGGGGAATCAGTTGGGATTAGGGCCAAAGTCTGACCATTAGACATGCGGATTTGTGCGGCCATCGATTTTTGATAAATTATTTATTGAGCACAGCAAAACTAAGGACATAATTAAAGCTTGGCTTAGACCATGATTAATGGCTGCCTGAGGGAAATCGATAAGGCCAGCCCGAAATCGGTCAGAAATTTAAGCTAATTAAAGGCAAAAAGGTATCCCTTAGCCAATTAGCGCAACACATCAAATGCAATTCGGCAATGTTAACAATAAAATAGGAAATAAATTCCAGCGCCTGTGTATTTTCCACACAATTTGCATAATCCCATCTAGGCAGAAATTATCAAGACGATATTAATTGCCAGGCCATCAAAATTTAGTTGCCCAGATAGCAAGAAACCCGAAACACAAACACCAAGCCAACGACGTTGTTTGAAAACAATTTGCAAGGGCCAAAAATGTTTAGGCCAGCAAATGCGAAATGCTCATTTAATTGCCAAGAGGTTGAAGGTCCTCTCGATGCCATAAAGGTAAATCACAAGAAATATGAGGGTATTTTCACTTTCGGGTCGCTGCCTCAGCCACATGCTTAATTAAAGCGCTTGGCTTCTTAAGAGTGTCTCGTAAATTACGCGGCATTAAATCGGCAGAGCCCAGATAGGGACAGGGATATAGCCGCAGAGAGGGACAGGAACAAGTGGAGGATGTGGAGATAGAGTGGGACAGCAAACTGAAAATGACTTTTTATGTGGCTGCGTCGTCTGGGCTTTCCGTTGCCAGCATAAAAATAAAAATAAAATTCAAATAAAATAAAAAGGATAAGCCAAAAAACGCACAAAACCCAAAACAAAATGGGCAAGTGAGTGTGAGTGTGAGTGTGTGTGTGTGTGTGAGTGTGAGTGTGTGTGTGTGTGGGCGAGATGCTGTTCGTAAAAAGGGTTAAAAGGCGACCAACAACAAAAAGAGAACGCTCGGCAATAAAGCGCTTTTGCTTTTAATGTTGTGGGTGAGTGGTGAGGAAATGAAGGTGAAGAGATCCTTAAGGGAACCTGCAGAGAGAGAAAAGTATTAAATTTAAAATAAAACTAAGTTTTAGTAAAGTCTAAGAGATTTCGTTGGGAAATATCATATAAAATCTTAGATACATTTTTAAAGCTAAAAAACCATGAAAGCTGCAGGATAAATTTGCCTCAAAAAAACAGAGAAAAATTCGTTTGTATTATTTCTCATTTTTAATTTCACTTAAAATAAAAGCTAAATTTTAAGGCATTTTGTTAATCTTACAATTTACTTCAGTTTAATAAATTTTAAAAGGTTTTTCAACTTTATTAAAAGCTTTTCCCGCAGTGCATCCTCTTAGCTGACCCAAATTCCCGCCAAACCCGTAATATCTTACACCTTTTTGTCTTGAAGGGGCGCCCCCGAAATACATGCATAAGTAAATGGCGCTCAAATGAGTTTGTAAGTGGAAATGAAATGCATATTTATTGTATTTAAATTGCCAGCGAGTTTTCCGGCGCATCTTTCGCGGCGGCTAAGCTCAGGTTGTCATGTGAACTCTGAAAAGGGGAAAATGGGACACGGGGCAAGGGACACAGGACACAGGACACGGGACACGGGACGTGGGTGTGAATCAGCAACAGGACATGCAGTCGAGCGGAAATGGCAGCGTGAGCGTTTTCAAAATGGCGCCTGCATTTCCTCACACATATATATGTTATATATACTATTTTTTTTTTCTCGCAACAATGGACGATGCGCCATTTGCGACTAAAAGCATTGCACACGGCAGTTTAGAGTTTTCTTTTCGCGCCAAAAGGAAATTGTGCACCGAGAAGGAGACTCAGGCAAATGAAGCGGAAAGCTCGGAAAGCACGGCAGTGTCGCATTGCATATGCATACGCATTAAAATGGGGGGGGGGAAAAGAGCAACAAAAATATATATGCATACAATATGCATCAGAAGTCAGACTTAGGCGCTGCTGTTGGTGTCATGGCGGAAATGAAATTTTCAGCGCTTCTCAAAAGGCATCAAATAAACAGTTTTCCTAGCCGTAACAGCGCCAAGCAAACATCCTTCACAGGGACAACAACACAAACAGGCGCATGAACATATACCATACACTCGAATAAAATGCCGGACACTTGCAGAGGCGGAAAAAACCAACCAGGCGGATGAGTGAATAAGTGTCTCTTGATGTTTCTGTTGTTGCCATAGTTGTGTGTAACATTGAAAACTCGTTTTTAAATGGCAGCAATGCCAGCAGCAGTACCAACAACTGCAACAGCAACAGCAACAATAACAACAGCAAAATGGACAACAACTCGCCACAAACAACAACAAAATATGACATGCCCATGTCCGTTCGTTTCGTTCGCTTTCAGGATCCGTTTCCTTCGCCTCGCAGTTTCCATTGCATTTTCCAGCACACTTTCCTGCTGCACTCGCCGAAAAGATGTTCATTTTATTTTATAGAATTATATTTTACTTTAAAATCATTTAAGAAGTATTAAATTAAGATTACTTTTTATGTAATTATTATTTTTCTCATTTAAGAATAATTAATTTAATGTTTTAGTAATTTTTAGTTAAATTAGTAGCTTAATTTAATCAAATTATCTCATGTTTCTACTATGGAATACCACGTTTTCGATGAGTAAAAACCATGGTATACTTTTGGGGCCCGTTGATTGTTGCTGCTAAAGAATATTATAGTAATTTGGAATTCCATTATTATATTAATTAATATATATATAAATATATACAAAACTCTATAAAGACTTTTTACTTGTATTAAAAACTTCAAAGTAAACAATTTTTTCCCGGTGATTTGGTCAGAGGCTTGGTCACTGGCAAGCAGCCATAGCCCCAAGTGCAACATGCTTGTAATAACCCCCACACTCGCACACACACACACACCCATAAAAATATATATATACACAGACAGAAACGAGGGGTCAGTTGTGGGGGAGCTGGACAGACAGGCAGACAGACGACAAATTGCCATTCATATGCAGTTGCACAAAACTCGAAGCGAAACTCTACCACTTTTCCCCCTTTCGCTCCTTTTTACTGATTTTATTTCTCCTTTCTGCCTCCTGCCTGCTGGAACATTATTCTCTGGCTTCTGTAAAGGGAAAGGGTGGGGGAGGGGGAGTGGCGGACGAAAGGGACGTCTACGGAAGCGGAAGAAAAATCAGTTGCAACTGCAATTGCAGCTGGAAGCATGCCATGAATATTTTAAAGCATACTTTAGCAGCTTGCAGCGGCATTCGATTAGTATTCAAAATGACGAAAACCAAAACAATATTGTGGTTAAAGTACAGCGATTGATTTGATGGCTCACTCGGGTACAGTGGAGGTCAGGAAAATAGCAGTACCAAGAACTTTATGACCTCATTAACCGATTTATAGCTTGATAAATTATTTACCTATAGCTCTGGTATCTTAGTACATATTTTCATTAAACCAAAACCTTTATATAGTTTTTTAAGAATAAATTATGCTTATTTTAAAAACTAAAAATTAAACATTTCTCTACATTTCTATTTGCGACAGGTGACCACGGAGGAAACGCAGTATATTCGATCGGTTGACAATCTGATTGCATCCCGGCTCAGTCTGAAGCTGCAGCTGCAGGCGATTCACTTTGTGGCCGGTTCCAGTGCCCATGGAAATGGAAATGGAAATGGCAATGGCAATGGCCTCACAAATGCACTGCAGATGGCCGGCGGCTCAGGCGGAGGCGGAAGCCTTGTCCTGCGATGCACAGCGCAAATTGGCGATTTCTATCAGGAGTACAAGGAAATCGAGCTGGGTACACCGCAAAAGGATCCGGTGCCGGCCAGAGGTAATCCACAAATGCAGTAACTGCCAGCAGCTAAAGAGCACTGAAAGAAAATTTATTAATTGCAAATGAAATATGATAATTTTATAACAGAACAAACAGAGTATCATTTCTGAAACCTTTAAAAAAGTATGAAATCAAATTGAAATACTATTTTGTAGCTTTTTCAAGGGTTATAAAGCCTTATAATTTTGTTTGTTCACTTTTTTATTAAGTTTATTTTGTATTTTAAATGAAAATTGATCATTTTTTCTCACTGCACAAATGCTTGTGATTTAACCATTGCAGTGACGCTGTCGTCGGGCACCGGTCTTCGTGGCTTCTTGGAGACCTATTTTGCCAAATCCTCGGCTCGCAGCCTCTGGCGCGGGGCGGCAGGCAGCGCGGCGGCCGGCTTAATGGCCACGATATTAACCAGGCTGATTAATGGTAGCTAAATGGGCGCAGGATTCATGGACTTCATGGATATGCAATGCGCGAGAGGGACGTGGCATGTGGCGGGTGGTGTGTGAAAGGGATGTGTATAGCTTATCGATCAGCGATGGAAATTAGAGGGAGCCCTCGGCCGTAAACTGCATTATTTACCTATCACGAATGCAATTTAAATTACACCCACAGACACACACTCTCCCACTCGGCCACAGATCCCATATAACTGTAAATATTTGCTTTAATGATGTGAACGGATACACGTAAATGAACTCGCACACTCACACACACACACACACATACAAACATATATACACGCATACACACACGCGCGACTAATTGTTAATTAATGGATTATTTAATGATGCATAAAATATTGGATAAAATATGAATGTTTCATTTGCATTTAGCTTCAACCCAAGCGGATATCAACTTAATGTTTAAGCGGAGTAAAAACCAAATGTAAATCGTTGAAACGATTAAAAAAGCAGAAAGAGAATAACAAAAAATTTAACAAAAACAAAAACAAAAACCATAGAGAACTGTAAAACAATTAAAAATGCCAATGTCAAGACAAACCAAATACATTCAAACCAAAATAAACAAGCAGTAATAATCGAGTTCGATGTGTTGGCTCTTTCATTTAAATGGGAAATTAGTTAATTGATTTTAATATTTGCCTTTAAATAAATCTTAATCTGGGTAATTTAACTAATTATGGTAATTATTGGTTTAGGATTTGACGGTATTTATTATGGTAGCCATTTTGGCAAAGGTGAGTTATATTTGGGATGTTTCTTTCCAGGATTCTTGCGTCTTCTAAGCTCTAATAATTGTTCCAAAATATTTTCGAAACTTAATTTGTAATTAAAAGTGTTTTTCTAGATTGGAATTAGTTTTATTTCCACAATGTTTTGGGTATTATTCATTCATTTAAGTTTAAAACTAACCCCAAACAACTTTATTTTAAACTTAAAGTCTTTTTTATGTCTATTTTATTCAGTGTATGCAGTTTAAATACATTTAAAATCAAAAATATTTTTGGTTACATTGTAGGTGCTATTATTATAATTTTGTCTCTGTTTTCAAGGACACAAAAAATATAAAAATTAAATAAAATATATATATGTATACTACCCCATAAAAAATACAAAGTAAACCGCCTCCGAAGAACATTTTCCCTCACCTCGTATTAAAAGAATTGGTAACGAAATCGCTCTTAGATTTTCCCATCGATTTCTAGACACTCGTTCTTTGGTAGATTAAACTGGAGCATTTAAATGACAGCCCGCCGAGCTCAGCTGCATGCTGATGGGTGTCTTTGGCTCAAATAAATAGGGCCTTGGCCAAATGGGCGTGTCCCCGCCCATCGCCATCACTTTGCGCTGACAACTGAAACAAATTCGATTTCAAACGCGTTTTGTGCGCGTTTTCTGCCGCGTTGCGGATCGCCCTGGAAATTGTGTGTTGCCTACTTCTAGGAGGCTGCCATTAAGGCGCACTGCTTGCAAGCATTCCGTCTGATGCAATTAAACCCAAAATATATGGGAGAGCAGGGCCCCGAGGCCTTATGGCATTTAGCTCTTTCTGCACTCGCCCAAAAAGTCATTAAAAGATAAAATCGCAAAATCAATTAGCCAGAAACTTTAGCCGGCCGCGACTCGGACTCCAACGCCAACTCTTTCTGTCTATTGCCTGGCCCAGACACTGAATTGAGTGCTGACTCTAAGATGGTTTTATAGCCAAAGCTCAAAGTTTAGAAATTGTAGCAAATTTTAAGTATTTTAAAATATTTCTAATACGTAATTATGTTATTAAATTAATAGTTTTAATAAGATAAATAAATTATTTGAATTATTATTAAAGTTATGTTTCCAGGCTTAAATATATTTTTTTGAAACTTTGATACTATTATTTCCCATAAAATAATAAATTATAAATAAAACAAAAGGTCTAATATTGTAAAAAATGAATATATGGTAAATATATATATTTTTTTTAATATTTATCTTTAAGAAAATTATTAAAAATCTGTATTAAAAATGAAATCCAAATCCTCATGTCTGCAGAAATTAATTTATATAACTTTTAAGTCGCAAAACAAGCTTGATTTCTAACTTAACTTAAGTTTCTTTTATATGTTTCTAATAAACTTAGCTATTTTCTATAGTCTGAACTTTCAGACAGCACTGGATGAAGCTGTAAGCGAGTAGAGACCGAGTTTCTGGGCGCCATCTAGCCTGACCATAAATTGCAACACTTTTATCGTCGTCCCAGGCCCGCCTGCTGTTGTCCTTGTGTGCCGCCTATTTTTGCTTGCGCTTGGTGCTTGCCCGCTTTTCCCTTTCCCGCTTGCCCGCTTTTTTTTCCCGCTGCACAGTTGCGCACAGTTTCCGATTTCCGTTTCCGCTTTTGCGGTGGCCGCCTTGGAGTTCGGTTCGGTTTTTATTTGCCGCACACTCGCTCGCCTCGACGCTTGCATAAGTGGGCAGAAATCAGCTCCTCCAGTTGGCCACAAAGTTTGCTGTTCGCATTGCCCGCTGCCGGCCTTTTTTGGCAAACGCATTTTTTCATTACTTTCGACTGGCCGGAGGCCAAGAGTCTGCACTGAGAGAAAGCTAAGAGCAGACTTGCTGAAATAATATTAAAACTGTAGTTTAAATTATAAATATTATTCTTTTTTTCTATTTATTTTGTTTCTCTCCGTGTGCTGAAAGTAGGAAAACCCGTGGCCAATGGGTATATGCCTGATGGTAGATGGCAAATGCATTTGCCTGCAAGTTAACGGCCGTTGGGACGGCACTTCCGCTCGCCGCCTCATTGGCCACGCCCAGAGAGAACAAAAAAAAAATATACCGAATATACCCTTTATATGTATACAGATAGGCGGCGGCGGCCAAAAGAAGAAGGCAGTGCATGAAATACTTTTATGCAATTGAAACGAATTGCGGAAAATGATTTATGCCACAGCATTAAAGCCCAAATTGGTACAGTCGAAAGGAAGCCGCTGTGATGTATGGTTATGCGATACGCTTCACAGGGCAATCGGTATGATAACATTATCCCAATAAATCGGGAGGACAGCTTAAGAACACATCTCGAAAATATAGTAAGCCATATGAATAATTTTTTAAAGAAATCTATAATTAATTCATTCTCACAAAAGGGAAAACAATAAGATGAATGAATGGTCCTGCAGAATTTTAAACAAATGAAGCCCCAACTTTCGTAATTAAAGACATGAAAACAGAATTTTATTACTCCAGTATCCCACGCAAGGATCCCAGCCTCGATGCCCACTCAGTGTCAGTTTGGGGCCAGCTCATTACAGGTCAATTAATTAATTGAAGCCTGCCAAACGGACGAGCCGAGCTGCCAACCAATATAGCCATAAAAGTGAATAGACCGGCAGCTGAGCATATAGAGCGACCAGAGCGGAGACTGGAGACCAAAAAACACACACTGAGGCCCAAGAAAAAGCCTCAGAATGAATTGCTATAATCACTGGGAGCAACAGCAGGAGCCATTCTCCCTGGATGGAGGAGGTGGTTATGGGTGGATATACGAGAAAATGGTAGGCACATGGAATGACATATTGGCCAACGAATTTGATTCGGCCGATAGAGGTCATGGCATTTGACCATGGGCCATTAGAAATTCGACTTTTAATGGCCAATGAATCGGTCAAAGAGTAACCACCTTCTACTCTTTATCCTCCTACTATTATTTCCCAGTATTTCCTGCCTCGTTAGTGTCATTCGCATTCCCAAAAACCCATGCTCCGAATGCTCGAAATGGTTGTTGCCACAATTTAAGGATTATGCACATGGAAATGGAGTTTTAATACGCGAATCCATTCTTAGGGGCACCACTCGCAACTTTGGTAATTCAGCTGCTAGGCCATACATTAGCATAAATTTGGCCAACCATTGTCATGGTCTGATTTGGGGGCATGTGTCAGGACCCGGATTGATGCCATGAATATTTTATTAACATCGGCACGCTCCAACTTTCGACCTCGAAAAACGAAATCTATATATGCAGTTGCGGGCAAGATAATAGCACTTGGGAATTTATTCTTTTTATTTTTTTTAAATTTAATTTTATAAAAAGATTTTGGATTTTTTTTACTATTTACTCAATTTTAAAGGTGGCAAATGAATATTTATTAATGAATAAATAATTAAGAAATATTTTAGGTAAGAAAAATGCAGACAATACATGTATCAATGCACGTTTTCCCTATATCCCAACCTAAAGTTAATAAAATTTTATTCTAACTCTTAAGGTCGGAGTTCAATATCGAAATTATCATAAAGTTTGATTAATCTAACTTGTAATTATAGACAAATTTGTAATTTATCGTTCAAAAATCGATAATATATTAATATATTAAATAGATTCTCCTTCCTTGCAATTTATATAAACAGAATGTGGTTCGATATGTCAAAGACAACTTCGATTTATCACAGGTGTATGGACCATCGATTATTTTATTGTCCTATCGATATATCGATTTTCTTTATCCCTTTATAAAGGTATTCTTTACACCTTTCTTGCTATAATGTTGACCCCAAACGTATATGGGGGCATTCATTTTTATGTAATTCAGCAACTGAATTGGGAAAATGAAATTTTCGCACGAATTTGCATTGCATATTGTTCGGGGCCTCTACGTGCAGTCCGCGGACAAATCGTCATTAATAAAGCCTAGATGAGTGACTGGCTGAGGGAGTGAGTTTTTTCTGCAGGTAGCTGATCTATGTGGGCGTGGCAACAATGGAGCTTCGTTAGTGCAACGGCAAACCTGGCGAACGGCAATCAAAATTCAATTTATTTACGCACACAATTTGATTTTTGATATTTTTACGCATTCTTCTGCTTGCTGCCGTCGTCTGTGGAAATGAAATTTAATTGCAAATTGCCAGGCCAACACAAAGGTGAAATTAATTATGAGTAAACTAAAATGATAGCTAATAAGCATTGTAGGCAAAAACTAAAAATTTAATTAATATTCTCGTTCGACACAGAAATTACACGACATAGCTTGCAGTGCCAAAAATAGCCGGCCAGCTAATTAAACAGCATAATTTATTTTATTTGTTATCCAGCATTAAAAAAAAAGAACAAAAAAGCGAAATTCCCAGCGAAAATGTAATCTATATAAACTTGAATGTGTATACAAAGATATTGTAGTTGTTTGGCAAGAATTAAATGTAATTTAATAAACCGAAAATGTGCAGTTATGTCGCGTGTTTCCCACGGTCTCATACAAATATCAGTGTATATATTTGCTCTAGTAATTTGCATTTAATTTCGTTATATGCTAATTTTAAATTATATCCCGCACCCTCTGCTCTTTAATTAAACGGGCATAAATGTGCGGATAAAAATCCTGGGTCCAGCTACCACAGAAGCCGCAGCCTTCAAGCGGCAACCATCAACAGCTCATCAAAAAGCGGTGGCTGGGAAGCAGGAACTAGCCTCTTTTGAAGTAAAAATTAAATTCAATTGCCAATTCTTCAAAATTTCTAAGCTTAAGCTGATAAAACT